CAAAAATGGTCCTTATCATTATTTACGTAGAATTAACAGTTTTCGAGACATTACGTCTCGAAGATCCCTGAATTTTCCGGGTCCGGAGATAAATTTCATAAGCGTATCATTGATTGATAGGAGAAATTGTTCAATAACTCGGCTAAAATTTAATATTTTTTGATGATTCAAAGTTCATTTAAAAGGTAGAATCAACAGCTATCACATTTTGGAACTTGTTTGAATTTTGTCATATTTTATAATAATAAAAAAACCGGGCAAACATTCCTTAACCCAAAATTTTTTAGATTTTTACAAACTTATTCATATTTTCAGTAATAATAGATTATTTGTCAGGAATCATTATCTACTAGATTTAAATACTTATATGCTAGCTACGCATTTCCGAATGTAGAAACTATCTAGGATTTCCACGTTCTAAGGTTTTAGCCAAACCTACCTATATAGGATAGGCCCAAATTAAGGCCCGTTTTTTATAATTCCCAACGTGCACCAGATTTAATACCTCTAAAAGCGTCGTTTACCGACATTAACCAGTGGCGCACCAATCGATACATTGAATAAACGAATAGCCTAATGACCAAACCGTAGGCCAATAAATTAGTAGAACGGCCTATTAAGTGTGGGAAAACGCGCGACTAGTCGATAAATTATAATATCAGATGTACGTGCGCGATAGCAAATTACAATTGCCACCAGCGATAATGTACGGAGATATTTGGTGCAAAACACATTTGCAGTACGTTTATGAGCTCCAAAATGTGTGATGAGTTTTTCAAGTTATTATGAGATAAATAAAAAAAAATAGAATTTTTTAAATAGTGAAACAGAAAGTTTGAAACATCCTGTGTTTAATATATTAACAAAGCAAGGAACTTAAAAATCACTTTATCATCTAGGTGCATCTTTTCTCAATAATTTATTTTTTGGTTTATCTCAATAGGTTTATTTTTTATTGAGATATTCGCTTTTGAAGAAGACACTAAATTTTTTTCGTAATTTTTTACATTTTAACCATGCCTTTGATTTTAGGTCTAGTTAAACAACTTGTGAAATAGTGTTTATGATTGATGTAATGTTACTGTCATTAAAACATAATTTTATTGAGCAGTTACTCAAGCAGAAATATTTTTAAGTCTAGAAGTTGATCTCTACCATGTTCAATTAAGACAACAATAATAGTAGATAACTTCTGGATTTAAAATCATCTCTGCTTGAGTAACTCTCAACAGACAATAATAATATTATAACTTTTCAATGACAGTGATATTAAAAAAAGGATAAACTCTATTTCATAGGTGTGTTGATGAGGACCAAAAGCAAAAGGATACTTTTAGTAATAAAAATGATGTGAATCGTTACTGTCTTCTTCAAAAGTGAATATCTTTAATGCTATTGAGATGAACAAAAAAACAAACTATACTCTGTTTTTTTTTCTCAGTTAAGATTTCGACAGACGATGACAGAAGAAATGCAGATGACGTCCCATACCAATCTATTTATTTTACTAAAAAAAGTTTCTAATATTTTTTAAGTTAACTATGGATTGGTTTAAATATAAATCCATCATACGTCGTTTCTTGTTGTTTTTAACCAGTTTTATTGGTTTATTTCAAAAATGACAGATCATATTTCAATTTTATTGGTTTGACGGAACGATGAACGACAAACGGACGCCGATGCGTATGAACTCGCCTTTAGATTTTTGACGCTTGTCAAAGTCTTGCCAAATTATAGGTTATAATTTTGTGTCAAATACCCTGCGTTTTGGAAGATGATGCATTTTGATTCGTGTTATTACGCGTGTTTTGTGTCTTTTGAAGTCAAGTGGAGGAAAAATCGAGTGAAAATTAACTGTAGATCCAGAGCACAGTTTATGGTTAATAGTCGCTGCCCAGGCGGAAAGTCTTATACACCAATAAAGTTACAAGTTACCATCAATAAAGTTTGTATACCATCTCGTCGTAGATAAGTGCATCTCGAATATGGTAGGACCATACTAAACACATACTAAAAACCGGAGTAGTAGTAAATAATGGATTTTAGTACTGCAGAAAAATAATGTCAAAAGGTACTGGTTTAAAAAAATTAAGATTAAAGTTCAACCTTTCAGATTCAAGATTAAAGTTCAACCAAAAATCAACCTTTAAGGTATAAAATTTGGAAAGTGTTATTATTAATAAAATGGTTTGTTTTATTTATGTTGTTTTATTTATTCCTGTAGAATATTACAAATTTCTATTTGTACACAAAATTGTAAAATAAAATGCGGAAAGTTTCTTGAAGCTTGAAAGTAAGAAATAGTTCCTTTTAATATTTTTTTGGTATGTGGTGTTTTGTTCTTGTTTGTTTTGTATTAACATACCGTTTTTTAAATAAAATAACTCGATTACATTTTTTCAGTTTTATACAGTTTTTTTCACAATATTTTGAAGTAATCACTTGTCAGTCAATTTTTAAATATTTCCTTTTATGCGTTCCAGTTGTACCAACTTATTTCTTTGTAAAATAAAATAAATTATTTTGAAATTAAAATGACAGACACATCTATCACTGTCATGGATCTTCTCGATGGACAGACTATATCAAGAAAATATGAACCTAGATGAAAAATTATTTATTTTTAAATTGTTTGCTTTGTTAACATATCCCACAGGGTGTTTCCACAAAATATCAACCAAATGCTTAAAAAATCATCAGAATTGGCTATAGAACAAAATATATTAAACTTTGAAATATAAATTTTAAGGTGTCCGTAGAGTATAGTATAGAAGTAATTTCTATCAGTCTAAATGCAGTCTTTTGTTTGATTGTTCAACTTTCCGAACCTTACGTTACAGTAGCACTAGAAAAAAGCATAATAGACCTACAGTATTGTACGAAAACAGTAGTCATATTACTCTCACTAAAAAAAAAAGAGAAAAAATAACAATAGTCATTAGCAGTAAAGGAGTCTTTTATTATGCTTTTATTCAAGGTTCTCAACGCGGTAACAGCTTCTGGCGAATATCGACTTCCGGAAAAGCCGTCAAAGAATTTCCTTCGTCTCACGTAATGAAGCCCGGGGCTCCGAATTAATTCGCTTTTCCTTTCTAACGCTCGCGGAGCTAATTTTTCCGGGTTTCTCTGTTTTTTTCGAGGACGACGATGAGAAGCTAAGTAGAATTAACACAAAAGACCCTTTTCCTTTTTTTTATTATGGTCTGGAAGAAAGGAATCGTTTAAGGTATAAAGACAACTGAAAGTTTATCTATCAAAAGTATTCTTTAAGTTAATCTAGAAATATAGTTAACGGTTTTATCGAAATTTCATTTCTCTTTGGTTTATTTTTGGTTATTTCCTAATAAAAATAGAATATTGTTCTACTAACGTGTTTAATATTGTTTTAATAAAATATTGTAGGGAGTAAAAATGATACTTTTTGTAGCGAGGTCATACGTTTGACACTATAAACGAGTCATAAAAAGTCATTTATAAACGAGTCATAAAAAAGTTTATTTTTTTTCAAACGTCACAAATATTTTTTTATACAATTTCAAATGTTGTAAATATTAAAAAAAATAAAAATAATACCTTGTAAGCAATTATATACGAGAAACTATATAGTTAAACTCGTTGAATTTGACACTTTATGTCAGTTTAATAATATACCGGGTGCGTCTCAAAAGTGGCTCACTCCTATAACTTTTTTATTTTGTCAGGTAAATAAACGAGATTTGGTATGTTAGTATATGACATAAATTAGGATTGACTGACGTATTCAATTCTTTTTGGTCACTTCCTGTTTCACCGGAAATGACTAAAACTTTTGATTTTGCAATTGCTCCTTCGGTATTTTGTTATTTTATTCGATAGAAAATGACACTCTGAATAGAATGACATATCATATGTCAATTTTTGAAACTTTCGCTTAAAACAAAATTGTAATTTAAATTTGAATCTAGAGTGCCATGACTGTGTTAAAAACAGTAATTTTTAATCAAAGAGCCTTGGAAAAATAGATTTGATCGTCTAATATTTTTACTGTCTTGCCCTGACCGGTAAAAATATGCCCAAATTGTATTTTTATTCATATCTCAATTTATTCAAAGGGTTGCTCATTGGAATATTCAGAAAAAGTATTTTTTACGAATAATTTGGTAACACACACTTGATATTTCGAGTCAAATTGTTGTTATGAATCGCATTGTGCAATTTCAAATAAACCATATTCGAGAAAATTTCAAAAGTTGACATATGATATGTCATTCTATACCGAGTGTCATTGTCTATCGAATGAAATAATAAAATACCGAGAGTGCCAAAATCAAAAGTTGTAGTAATCCGGTGAAACAGGAAGTAACCAAAAACAATTTACGTCAATCTATATACTAACATACCAAATCTCCATTTTTTTTTATTTGAAAAAATAAAATAATTATAGGGGTGAGCCACTTTTGAGACGCATCCGGTATTTTTGCCTTTTTGGTATTTAGGCGTAAAAGTGCTTAAAAGTGCTAAACTTTTATGCCTAGGCGTAAAAGTGCTTTACTTTTATGCCTAGGCATTAAAATTGCTTCTTATAGGTATTATTAATAACGTCGCAAAAATTAATACTTTTATAACGTTTGAAAAAAAACTCTTTAATATATTCTTGTCCATTTTTATACAATCTTATCAAATCATAAAATAATTATTTATTATAAATCTATGCATCAGTGGCTTATTAGCAAATCTCTTCGTGTCACAAACTTTTGCTTCCAGACGTAAAACAAATCTGTGGAGTTTTGAAACTTTGCAAAAAGGATCGAAAGGATATTTTTGTCAGGCACGGAACGCTTATTAAAGTTTTTTATATTTGGAATTTTATTTTAGGACGATACTTCAAAAATTATCTATAACTTTAACCCTTAATATATCTTATAAATATATCTAAAAAATATGTAAAAAAACTTCTTTCTGCGATTTTATGCTAACATATATATTATCCATACACTAATAATATTCTTTTTTTATTTTAGATGCAAATATAAAGCCACCCTTAAAGGTAAGATATTTTGTAAATAGTATTTTTGTTTTTAAGGGATCTATAGTATATTTTTTCCATTTATTTACGATCTACTGTTGCTTAAAAATATATTTATGTTTTTATCTAGAAGTCTACTGAATTGAAAGTCTATAAATATTTTTGAGGTGACTATGGGCTTATTCGTCTGTCAGTTTTAACAGCCTAAATGCATTTCAGATTGCTGTAAAAACGCAGAGGTACTGTAAAAACAAAATATTTTAAATTTTCTGATTTTTTTTTGGATCTATTATTTTATAAATGTCGAAGGATAACGGTCTCAAATAAAAAAAGACACATGTTTCATTGCCTAAAGCAGTTTTTACATTAATTATTTTGTTTTGTGTAAAATTATTGATGAATATCGATGTAATATATTGAGTAAAGACCCGCCTATATGCGCGCTTTTACTATTCTCACTTCCATCAGCTGTTGACTGATAGGGTTCGATTATTTATCGACGAGTTTGACTGTTTTTATTAATAAATAGGTATATTTATCCATGTATATCCCACACCCGGCATTTCATCAGCCGACTATTTTTATTAAAATAAAAATAGTTTGGGTACGTAGGTCGACTCAGCCTTAAATGAGTACTTGGGATTCACAATCTTGAGGTAATAATAGGCGGTTGAAGCGTAGTGCTAGCCACATTACCTTCCTTGTATACCGAACGGCTCTAGTATGGCAAGCTGTACCTTGCTACTCCCAAGGCGTTAAACGCTATATACGGGAGCTATTATTATATATTATATTGTTTTCACCATTACCTTGCAAAGTTTCAGTCTTTAGTTTGGTAGCGCTGAAGCTTTGTATCTCCATACTGCTCTGTCTGACTGATATATTTTTGTTTTACATTTATTATCTACAAATTTTCAGCCTTCAGAAAACAGTTAAAAAAGGTGTTAATTAAAATTACACCTTTGCGCGCTTCTCGGCGCAAAGTGTGTCCTGGAACTGTGTCCCAAACCGAACCGAACCAAACCAAACTCAGTGTGTTAATATACTTATAAAAATGTGATTCTTTGCAGAAAATTTTAGTTTAAGAAAATCAATAATAGTGATATGGACCTTAAGATATATTTTTGTTATCTTTTATGTTTTTATTTCAAAAACGATAACCTTTATCTTTTCTTTCCCTGTTTTTGTTTTATCCCCTAACAACCAATAAGTCAAGAAACAAACTTTTCCAATAACAGCTTGATTTTCCAAAGATATGATACGGAATCTACATAAATAACGCTTTAATGTCTTAATTTCCTAATCTCGTACAGCCCTTCTTGTGTTTGGGGGATAGATAGAGATATTGAAAAGAAAAGATTGAAAATAGAAGACGTAAGAACAGTAGTGTGTCACTTGGACGCTAGCGAAAATGTCCCAAATTTAATTTATTGCAGCGTGTGCAGGAATGTGGGACAATTAGAGACGATAATTGAATTTGTATTTCTTAATTTGAATCTCTGAGTTGTATAAAACAGAAAATTTCAAATTTTCAAAAAAAAATCGCAAAAAAAACTCTAGACGTGTTACGTATGTGGGGTCGAAATATGCTACCCCTAAAAATAAGGGCAAATATTTTTAAGGGAGTACATTTCGACCTCAGAAACACGATAATGAGTTACTTTAAATTTTCATTTTTTTCCGAAAAAAAAAATGAAAAGGGTATAGCCGGATTAATATAGGAAATATGCCCCCGCGGCTTTTTTGACTCGCACTCAGGGGATCGATTTGGTGTCGAATCAAAATAATTCACCTAAATTTTTAACTCTTTAACTCAAACGGTTTTTGAGATTTTCAAAAAAACTGTTTTTTTCAATTTCATTTTTATTTTTAAAAGCCGATTTTTAGCGGAGGAAAGAAAATTAAAATCTTCATTTTTTTAACCTTTGTAAAATATGTCACTCACTAAAAATCGTCAGAAAATGTCTTTTATACTCCTTTACACTCTGGAATATTTTAGAATTTTTTGAAGTGTTAGAACATTATGAAAAAAAAAATAAAAACTCATTTTTTTCTAAAATCTTCTCGGACTCATCCGGACTTTTTTATAATAACGAAAAAATTTTTTCTTCGCACTTTTTTTAAACTAAACAAAAATATTAAAACAAAAGATTATAGAAAAAACTGATTATAGAAAACACTCGAGTTTTTTTTTCATATTGTTTCACCACTTCAAAAAATGAAGATTTTAATTTTCTTTCCTCCGCTAAAAATCGGCTTTTCGTTTAAGAATAATGATCATATTATTTTTTCATGTCTTAGACTTCTAAGAATTAGAAAAAAAATCGTCATTAATTAATTTTGAATTTTACAATAAAAATAAAATTGAAATTGCTTTTTTTTTGAAAATCTCGAAAACCGTTTGAGTTAAAGAGCTAATTTTTTAAAAGATTTTAGCTAAAACCCAGAATTTCTTGATAATATGGCAACATAGGTAGTAGATTAAATTTACAAGAAAGAAAACCCAGAAAAAAATTCAGTGGCTCTCAAAATTTAAGCAAAAAATTAATTTTTTTTTGTAAATTTTCAGAGTAAAATAACTCGGTTATTTTGGACTTAAAGAGAAATATATATTCCTTTTATCGAGATCTACCAGTCCTAAAAATATTTGCACTTATTTAAGACTCACCCTGTATATTAATTTCTAAGTATAATTTGTTTTTTATATTTAAATATTTTAAATATAAAATAACATCTGTTCAAAAATTCTGATATATTCAAGTCAATTTAACGAACATAATGTAAATTTTAATTATACCTAAACAAAATTAAAAGTTTTTGAATAATTTTCACGTACATTTAAGTACCTCTGCCAGAAATTTCATTATAAACCAAATTAGCTGTTTTTGTTGGTCGGTTTTGATTATTTTTTTGGTTGGTTTCACTTTCGTTTGTTAGGTCGATTGGATTTTAATTATAAAGTAACTTTGGAGTGAAAAGAAACAAAGGTTTACTAAAATCTATTTTAAGCCGATTTAATATTATATGACATTATTCTATTTCTTGTTCAATTTTCTATTCGCGATTTTCTTGTTTTCTTCTTGTAACTGAAATCGAATTTTAATATTTAAGCCTGAGGCAAATCAATGTTGGATAAAAGAATTTATTTTCTTCAATTCAACTGGTAGTCTATATTTGAAATATTTTTACTATTTTCTCTAATCGTAGGAAAATAAAAAAAGTTTAATAAAAATCTACTCAATCTAGATTAAACGAAACACAATTCCATTTCTGCGTGTTTTGCTTACTTGAAATTGAATTTTATAACTTGAATCGCATTAAAGCAATTATTAACTCCAATAGTATTGTATGTTAGACAGAACGAAAATTAAATATTAAGAAAATTAGTTTGATTTGACTACAGACTTGATAATACAGATAATCCTTTTTCCAAGTTTATGATATAGCCACGATTTCAATATTATTCTAATCGATCAACATGAACAACATGCCATCAACAAGAACGGTAGTAATCAAATTATTTAATCAATATAAGAGTAGATTGTAGATTTTAAAAATTATTCATCGCGACTTTCTAGATCTATTGTGTCTCCCTTTCTTGAGTTATAACTCATCATAAAGTATCAGAGAGTTGATAAAAGACAGTATCCGAGATGGTTCTCCAGAGGTTAGTTCTCCATCTCCAATATGAGTCGTACCAAAGTTAATGGCACGAATGGCTGTCGTCTCGGAGCACTCAGTGATGAGGTGTTCTGGCGTTTCCCCATTTTCCCCACAGAGTTTGCATTTGCCGTTGTATCTTAGCTTAAATACATTGATATGTTCATTGAGGACTCCTGTTAAAAACCCCGTGACAATCTCAAGATTATTCTTACTTAAATCAAGGAAAATCTTTGATATGTCTCCATCGTAAGTCCTAAAAATTTCTTCAAGTGTCCGGTGTAAGACGGATGTTCGAGGATTCCCATTCCAGGTTACAGATAAAGTCGTCCAGGTTTTTGTGTTCTGCTTTAAGTTCCAATCCAGTTAGTGGAATGTGAAGAGTATAAGGAATATAAGAGTAAAATAGTGTAGCCAGAATTCTGGTGTGATTTGCTGATAATAGTTTATAAGTCTCTACATAATTCATTAGGTTATGATTAGCAGTTATATAAAAATGTGTTTACCACCATCCATTTGATAGACTGATGATGCTTCTATTGTTCTACAATATTGCAATATATTTTTTAAATTGCCCTTGGGCAATATAGTATAGCAATATAGTAGAATTTCATTAAGAAGCTATTTGTTTTTGACCTAATATGCTACGGCTAAAATTCTTCTTCTTCTTATCACTCCCTATCCTGCCGAAGGTTGGCGATTCAAATGGCAATTGTAGCTCTGGAAACTGCAACCCGGAAGATTTCCGCAGACAAGCGTTTAAACCATCTTCTTAAATCCTTTAGCCATGAGTTCTAGCGTCTTCCTACTGATCTTTTCCCTTGCACTTTGCCCTCTTTTATGAGGCGCAGTATTTCGTATCTACCACCTCTCATCACATAACCCAAGTATTGCATTTTTCTTTCCTTGATGGTGTTCAGTATCTCTTTTTGTTTCTGAATGCGCTGGAGTACTTCATCGTTGGTGATCCTTTGTACCCATGAGATTCGCAGCATCCGTCTGTACACATACATTTCGAAGGCTTCTATTCTCTTTTTGGTCTGTGAATCCAGTGTCCAGCTCTCACATCCCTAGAGTAACACAGAGAAGACGTAGCATCTGGCCATTCGAGTTCTGAGTTCCGCACTGAGATCTCGTCTTGTAAAAAATGATTTCATTCTTACGAAGATTTTTCTCGCTTGCTCAATTCTTGAAAATATTTCTCTTTTCGGGTCGCACTGACTATTGATGTTAAGCTCCTAAATACTTTATTGAGGTCACTTGTTCGATTGTTTGTCCCTTGACACGCAGGTCTGCATTTATTGGAGTCTTAGAAAAGACCAATAGTTTGGTCTTGGAGACATTGAGATGCAGTCCAAACA